CGCAGTCCAAGGCACTCTCAGCACTTTCCTCCAACACCACAGCTCAAAAGCATCTCTTCCTTCGCTCAGCCTTCCCTAAGGTCCAGCTCTCACATCCGTAGGTGACTACAGGGAATACCATGGCTTTGACTAGGTGGATCTTTGTTGCCAGTCTGATGTCTCTACTCTTTACTATTTTATCGAGACTGGACATTGCTCTCCTCCCAAGAAGTAAGCGTCTTCTGATTTCCTGGCCACAGTCTGCATCTGCAGTAATCTTTGCACCTAGAAATACAAAGTCTGTCACGGCCTCCACATTTTCTCCCTCTATTTTCCAGTTGTCAATCATTCTTGTTGCCATAATCTTGGTTGTTTTGAAAAAATGTATATAATATCACAAAAGGACCACCATCTGACCTGCTTCATAGGAAATCTGCTACAAAACAGGAGCTTTTTGTTGAGTTCCGGGGCCAGAGAAGCAGATGGCGGAAACAGAAGAACGGCCTGCCTCAGGGGAGCGTGCTTGCTCCATCCATGTTCAACATTTACACAAATGACCAGCCACTGCCAGAAGGGACAGAGAGCTTCATCTATGCTGACGATCATGCCATCACCGCTCAAGCAGGGAGCTTTGAAATGGTTGAACAGAAGCTCTCCAAAGTTTTATGTGCTTTTCCTGCCTATTACAGGGGAAACCAGCTGATTCCTAACCCATCTAAAACACAGACATGTGCTTTTCATTTTAAGAACAGACAAGCATCTTGAGCTCTGAGGATCACCTGGGAAGAAATCCCACTGGAGCATTGCACCACACCCATATACCAGGAGTGAAGGAAAGAAAAGAAACAGAGGGAAGGAAGGAAGGAGAAGGAAGGAAGGAAGGAAGGAAGGAAGGAAGGAAGGAAGGAAGGAAGGAGGAGGAAGGAGCGGAAGGAGGGAAGGAAGGAAGGAAGGAAGGAAGGAAGGAAGGAGGGAGGGAGGGAGGGAGGGAGGGAGGGAGGGAAGGAAGGAAGGAAGGAAGGAAGGAAGGAAGGAAGGAAGGAAGGAAGGAGAGGAAGGAAGGAAGGGAAAGAATGCTGCACTCGCAGAGCTCAGGCAGTGTTGTATTTCAGTGTCAATGTTGACTTTTGTGTAGAGGTGGCTGCCAAGGGAGTGGAAATGGTCGAGATTGTGGCGCAGCTGGCTGAGTGTCAGCTGCATTAAGATCACTCTGACCAAAAGGTCATGAGTTCGAAGCCAGCCCGGGCTGGAGTGAGCGTCCAGCCATTTTGTGTAGCTCGTTGTCGACCTTTGCAACCGAAAGACAGTTGCATCTGTCAAGTAGGAAAATAAGGTACCACCTTGTGTGGGAGGCTAAATTTAACTAATTTATGAGGCCATAAAGAAAAAAGACTCCGGGGAATGTGGAATGCGGAAGAACTTCATCGGTGTCGTTGATGGACGATGAAAAGCAGCAGCTCCCCTGGCGGCCAGAAAAAAAGTTAAATAGCCTTTGTCTGTTAAATGTTGTTTGTCAAACTGGCATTGAATGTTTGCCATATATGTGTTTACTGTAATCCGCCCTGAGTCCCCTGCGGGGTGAGAAGGGCGGAATATAAGAACTGTAAATAAATAAATAAATAAATAAATAATGTTACACCATTAAGCTGTATCTCTGGCATTGGAGAGGGATGGGCTGGTGACTTCTGGAAGAGTACTTTGGTTTTCTCAATGTTCAATGACAAGCCAAGCTTCTCGTATGATTCTGCGAAGGTGTTTAGAAGCCCTGTGTGAAGGGGGGGGGGGGCAGGGGACAGTTGCTGTTCATTTTCCAGTCCCAATTCAAGGTACAGGTTCTTACCTTTAAAGCCCTGAACGGTTTGGGACCCGCCTACCTGCGTGCCCGCATCTCTGTATATGAACCCACACGATCTCTTCGTTCATCTGGAGAGGCCCTGCTCTCAATCCCACCAGCATTGCAGGCGCGATTGGTGGGGATGAGAGAGAGGGCCTTTTCGGTGGTGGCCCCTCGACTCTGGAACTCACTCCCTAAAGACATCAGACAGGCCCCAACTCTGGCAGTCTTCAGGAGGAGCTTGAAGACGTGGCTGTTATTATTATTATTATTATTATTATTAAACTTTATTTGTACCCCGCTAGCATCTCCTGAAGGATTTGATGCGGCTTACACAGGCCGAGGCCTCAACACACAACACAACAGTACAATCTAAGCAAATCAAACAATTAAAAACAGAATAAAGCAAAATAAACAACAGGCACAATACACTAAAACACAATAAAACTGGGCCGGGCCAGAGAATGGGTACAAGATTAAAAGTGCTGATGTGACAGGAGGTGTATATGAGGCTTCTAGGGCAAGTGCGATGTGCGATGTGCAGCAATCATTGGTTCTGAGTAAAGTGCTTATGGGACTTGGTAGTGGAGATTTCCTAATCTGGGAAGGCGCATCGGAAAAGCCAGGTCTTCAAGTTCTTTCTGAAGACAGCCAATGTAGGGGCCTGTCTAATGTCTTTGGGGAGGGTGTTCCAGAGTCGGGGGGCAACCACAGAGAAGGCCCTGTCCCTTGTCCCCACCAAACGCGCCTGCGACGCAGGTGGGATCGCGAGCAGGGCCTCTCCAGATGAACGAAGGGAGCGTGTGGGTTCATAAACGGAGATGCGGTCACGCAGGTAGGCAGGTCCCAAACCGTTTAGGGCTTTGTAGGTAAGCACCTGCACCTTGAATTGGGCTCGGTAGGTAAACGGCAGCCAGTGGAGCTCCTTGAACAGGAGGGTTGACCTCTCTCTGTTCCAGTGTGCCTTCCCAGAATATGATCCCATAGCACGTTGTCCTCCGAAGTACTTTACATATTAGGTCTGCTTGTACGTTTTCCACAAACGCCACTTTCACCTTTTCATCCATGTCCCGGCATCATTTCCAATTTTAACTTTACATTTGGCCTTCCCACTGTTTTTAATTGTGTGTTGTCTTATTGTTAATTGTTGCATATTTTATTGTCTATGTTTTTTTATTTTAATTGTTTGTATTGTTGTTATTATTGCTTGTATTGTTGTATTTGGGCTCAGCCTCATGTAAGCCGCACCGAGTCCCTTGGGGAGATGGTAGCGGGGTACAAATAAAGTGTTATTATTATTATTATTATTATTATTATTATTATTATTATTATTATCTTGTCTCCTGTGCTATTCTAATAATATAATGTAATATAATATAATATATTGTATATACATATAATATTGATAATATTACAATGTAATACAATATAATACTACTAGTAATAATATGATATTATAATTATATATTTTACATTACATGTAATATTACTAATCATATTACAATATAATGGTATAGTAAAATATAGTAATATATAATATATAATACTGATATTGTACTATGCTAATAATATAATATATTGTATGTATATATCTCTGAGTCCCCTTCGGGGTGAGAAGGGCGGGATATAAATGTCGTAAATAAATAAATAAATAATTGAGAGATTTTAATGTCACAAATAAATAAATATCGTAAATAAATAAATAAATAATAAATAAATGGGATTTAAAATATTTATGAGATTTTAATGTCACAAATAAATAAATGTCATAAATAATAATAATAATAAATTAATAATAAATAATTGTGATTTCAAATATTTGTGAGATATTAATTTCACAAATAAATAAATGTCATACATAAATAAATAAATAAATAATAAATGGGATTTAAAATATTTGTGAGATTTTAATGTCACAAATAAATAAATGTCATAAATAAAAAATAAAAAATAAAAAATAATTGTGATTTTAAATATTTGTGAGATTTTAATGTCACAAATAAATAAATGTCATAAATAAATAAATAGGATTTAAAATATTTATGAGATTTTAATGTCACAAATAAATAAATGTCGTAAATAATAATTAATAATAAATAATTGTGATTTTAAATATTAGTGAGATATTAATGTCACAAATAAATAAATGTCCTAAATAATAATAATAATAATAATAATAATAAATAAATGTGATTTTAAATATTTGTGAGATATTAATGTCACAAATAAATAAATGTCGTCAATAATAATAATAATAATTAATAATAAATAATTGTGATTTTAAATATTAGTGAGATTTTAATGTCACAAATAAATAATAAATAATAAATAAATAAATGGGATTTAAACTATTTATGAGATTTTAATTTCATGAGTAAATAAATGTCATAAATATTAATTAATTAATTAATAATAAATAATTGTGATTTTAAATATTTGTGAGATATTAATGTCACAAACAATTAAATGTCGTAAATAAATAAATAAATGTGATTTTAAATTTTTGTGAGATATTAATGTCACAAATAAATAAATGTCGTCAATAATAATAATAATAATTAATAATAAATAATTGTGATTTTAAATATTTGTGAGATATTAATGTCACAAATAAATAAATGTCGTCAATAATAATAATAATTAATAATAAATAATTGTGATTTTAAATATTTGTGAGATATTAATGTCACAAATAAATAAATCTCGTAAATAATAATTAATAAATAGTAAATAATTGTGATTTTAAATATTTGTGAGATATTAATGTCACAAATAAATAAATCTTGTAAATAATAAATAAATAAACAAAAATAATTGTGATTCAAAATATTGAAAATGCAAAGTGTCACAATCCAGTTTGAGAATGCAGATTAACTGCTTTGAACTGGATTATAGGAGTCTACCCTGCCCTATAAACCAGCTGCATCCAGAAACAGGTCAACAGAGAAGTGCAGAGCCAGCCAAAGGGTCATTTTAATAAAGGGGGCGTGGTATGCAAATAAGGGGCGTGGCTTCCCACTGCTCAAGGCACGGCATCTTCTGGGGAGGCGGGGTTTCCATTTAGGGGCGTGGCTATGGAGTAGAAAGGCGTGGCTTGGGCGGAGCGTTCTCTTCCTAGTGAAAGACCTTTCCTCGCTTTCTGCGCGGAGGGGGCGTGGCCTAAGCGAAAGGGGGCGTGGCCTGGGCTGATTATTAACCCTAAGGCGCAAACGGTGGCTTGAGCGAAGGCCAGCATGGCGGCGAAGCGGTGCTTGGTGCTGTTCGACCTCGGCGGGGTCCTTTTCGGGTCCGGCGCGCAAGGTTTCCTCCGGAGCTTCCAATCGCGGGGCCTTTCCGGGTGGGTAGCCGCTTTTCCGCCCGCCCGCCTCTCTTTTCTCTCCGGGCCTCCTGCGCGGCAAACAAAGAATTTAACTCCCTTTACTTTCTTAAATACGTTGTGTGTCGCGCCCGACCGCGCGTGATCCAGAAAATCCTCAAATATCCATTTTAAATGTGTTTTTTTAAAAAAGAAGCTTTCATATTTTGAGGTGGGATGGGAGAGGAAAGAACCCTTGCCTGTTTGAAGCAAGTGTCAATGTTGCAATTAGGAATCTTGAATAGCCTTGCAGCTGTAAAGTCAGTCAGTGAGGGTACCGGCATGGAGGTAGCCTGGCTGTTGTTGCCTGGAGGCACCCTCTGTGGAATGATGTCCAGGGTGGGAGGAAGAACTCTTTATCTGTTTGGAGCAAGTGTCAATGTTGCAATTAGCAAGCTTGAATAGCCTTGCACTTCCAAAGTCAATCAGTGAGGGTATTGACTTTGGAGGTAGCCTGGCTGTTGTTTCCTGGGAGGAAGAACTCTTTTGTCTGTTTGAAGCAAATGTCAATGTTGCAATTAGCAAGCTTGAATAGCCTTGCAGCTGCCAAGCCAAACAGCCTGGCTGTTGTTGCCTGGAGGCACCCTCGGTGGAATGATGTCCAGGGTGGGAGGAAGAACTCTTTTGTTGGTTTGAAACAAGTGTCAATGTTGAAATTAGCAAGCTTGACTAGCCTTGGAGCTACCAAAGCAATGAGGTAGCCTGGCTGTTGTTGCCTGGAGGCACCCTCTATGGAATGATGCCCAGGGTGTGAGGAAGAACCCTTTGTCTGTTTGAAGCAATGTTGCAGTTAGCAAGCAATGAATAGCCTTGCAGCAGCTAAGTCAATCAGTGAGGGTACCTGAGTAGAGGTAGCCTGGCTGTTGTTGCCTGGAGGCACCCTCTGTGAAATAACATCCAGGGTGTGAGGAAGAACTCTTTTGTCTGTTTGAGGCAAGTGTGAATGCTGCAATTGGCCAGCTTGATAAGCATTGAATAGCCTTGCAGCTTCAAAGCCTGGCTGTTTCCTGCCTGAGGGAATCCTTTGTTGGGAAGTGTTAGCTGGCCCTGATTACACAGAGCCCTGCAACACAGCACTATATCCCAAAAAATTAAGGTAGAAAAATCACACATTGTCTGCTTTGAACTGGAACATATGGCAGTGTGGACTCAAGATAATCCAGTTCAAAGCAGATATTGTGGGATTTTCTGCTTTGATACTCTGGGATACAGGGCTGTGTGGAAGGGCCCATGGAGAAGCCACTGAAATCTACAAGCACGTGGGCAATTTCAACAGAAAGGAGGAAACCATGAAAATAAACAAAATCTGGCCACCAGTATTACAAAAAACACTATAATCATAACAATAAATAACCAACAACATTCAAAAACAGGGGAATTCCAGACAAGAAACAATCAGGGCCAGGTAACACATCCCAACGAAGGATTTCAATATCAGCTAGACAGTGTAATTTCTCCAGTGGTGTAGGCCATGATAAAACAGCATGTCTCATTAAGAGCCACATCCACTGTTTTAAGCGTGGTGAGATGTGTTCCACACTGGGCATGCGTACTCAGCAGCAGAGTAGCATAGCGCAAGGGCAGATGTCTTCACTGTGACTGGTTGTGATCCCCAGGTTGTGCCAGACATGAGAGAAGCCTCCCCGCAGGATTGCAACACATCCCATGTGCAATGTCTTTTAGATTCTCTCACACCAGAAGCGACTTGCAGCATGATGACAACAACAACAACAACAATAATAATAGGGTTGTTGTAGGTTTTTTCGGGCTATATGGCCATGATCTAGAGGCATTCTCTCCTGACGTTTCACCTGCATCTATGGCAAGCATCATCAGAGGTAGTGAGGTCTGTTGGAACTAGGAAAAAAGGGTTTATATATCTGTGGAAAGACCACATGGGACAGTAATAAAATGCAAGAGCCAAAAATTAAGTTATGGGTAAGAAGGGCCAATTCGTCATGTGACATTACTCACACCAATTAATAAATCAACTAATTTTATTTACAGTATTTATATTCCGCCCTTCTCACCCCACAGGGGACTCAGGGTGGATGACAATGCACATATACATGGTAAGCATTCAATACCACTTAGACATACAACATATATAGACAGACACAGAGGCAATTTACCATTCCAGCTTTCTGGCTTCATGAGGGTATGCTCGATTCCACCCACAGGGGGGAGCTGCCGCTTCACCATCCACTTGTGACACCGAGTCCTTTGATGGAGTACTTCCTCATTCTTCTGCACAGTGCTGGAAAATTTTATAGTGTCGTAAATTAGTTAAATTGGCCTCCCTGCATTAAACGGTACCTAAATTTCCTACTTGACAGATGCATAGGTCAACAGCAAGCTAGACTATTAATAGTCGGGAGCTCACTCAGGTTCCACATGGATCAACTCTGCTCAAGGGAAGGGAGGAGGAGAAGCACCAATCAGGAGGGTTGTTGTCACGCCTTTTTTTGTAGTCAGTCTCTTGCGTCCCGACATACGCATTGTCTTAGCACTATTCAGAGGGTTTTGCAAGGCCAGTCACTCTCATTGCAACGGTGTAGTAATAGTGAGGCTGCAGACCATATTTTAGGTCTTGGGGAGCAGTGGTGGTCCACAGACCACAGGTTGGGAACTACTGGTGTAGATGCACCCTTAGTGACATTTCAATCCAAAGTTGCTGCTAACAGTGAGAGAAATAAGGTTGAACACTGTGCAAGCCACCCACTGCATGGCTATCAGCCTCCTCCCAGTAGACTCAAATCAAGGAAAAGCTTCATGAGAACCACGACTCCTCTTAACGTTCCCCCAGCAACAGCAAGATTATCACTCTGGGCAGCTAAACCAGGAAAGTGGATGACTCCCTCCCCACCCCCCACCCCAAGGGTCTTCCTCCAGGGGCAAAGCAAGAATGGGCAAATTGGAAGTCCCTGAACAGACACAGAACAATAGACTGGTTCAAGATTGGGAAAGGCGTACGGCAAGGCTACAGACTCTCACCCAATCTTTTTAACTTGTATGCAGAACACATCATGCGATGTGCGGGGATTGATGAATGCAAAGCTGGGGTGAAAATTGCTGGAAGAAACATAACAACCTCAGATATGCAGATGACACCACGCTGATGGCCGAAAGCGAGGAGGAGCTGAGGAGCCTTCTAATCAAGGTGAAAGAGGAAAGCGCAAAAGCTGGGTTGCAGCTAAACATAAAAAAAAAGCGTGACAGACTTTGTATTTCTAGGCGCAAAGATGACTGCAGATGCAGACTGTGGCCAGGAAATCAGAAGACGCTTCCTTCTTGGGAGGAGAGCAATGTCCAGTCTCGATAAAATAGTGAAGAGCAGAGACATCAGACTGGCAACAAAGATCCATTGCCTAGTCAAAGCCATGGTCTTCCCTGTAGTCACCTACGGATGTGAGAGCTGGACCTTAGGGAAGGCTGAGCGAAGGAAGATCGATGCTTTTGAGCTGTGGTGTTGGAGGAAAATGCTGAGAGTGCCTTGGACTGCGAGAAGATCCAACCAGTCCATCCTCCAGGAAATAAAGCCCGACTGCTCATTGGAGGGAAGGAGACTAGAGACAAAGTTGAAGTCCTTTGGCCACATCATGAGGAGACAGCAAAGCCTAGAGAAGACAATGATGCTGGGGAAAGTGGAAGGAAAAAGGAAGAGGGGCCGACCAAGGGCAAGATGGATGGATGGCATCCTTGAAGTGACTGGACTGACCTTGAAGGAGCTGGGGTGGTGATGGCCGACAGGGAGCTCTGGCGTGGGCTGGTCCATGAGGTCACAAAGAGTCGGAGACGACTGAACAAATGGACAACAACAACAAAATAATCCGATAGGATTTTGGCCTTCATCAATAGGAGCCTAGTGTCTAAATCCAGGGAAATCATGCTCCCCATGCTCTACTCCGCCTTGGTTAGACCACACCTGGAATATTGTGTCCAATTCTGGGCACCCCAATTCAAGAGAGACATTGACAAGCTGGAATGTGTCCAGAGGAGGGCGACTAAAATGATGAAGGGTCTGGAGAACAAGCCCTATGAGGAGCGGCTTAAGGAGCTGGGCATGTTTAGCCTGAAGAAGAGAGAAGGCTGAGAGGAGATTAAAATGGCATAAAAAGGTTAAGGTAGTCCCCTGACATTAAGTCCAGTCATGTCTGACTCTGGGGTGTGGTGCTCATCTCCATTTCTAAGCCGAAGAGCCAGCGTTGTCCGTAGACACCTCCAAGGTCATGTGGCCGGCATGACTGCATGGAGCGCCGTTACCTTTCCGCCGGAGCGGTACCTATTGATCTACTCACATTTGCATGTTTTCGAACTGCTAGGTTGGCAGAAGCTAGGGCTGACAGCGGAAGCTCACGCCGCTCCCCGGAATCGAACCTGCGACCTTTCGATCAACAAGCTCAGCAGCTCAGTGCTTTAACCCACTGCGCCACCGGGGGCTCCTGGAGATATGATAGCCATGTATAAATATGTGAGAGGAAGCCACAGGGAGGAGGAGGGAGCAAGCTTGTTTTCTGCTTTCTTGGAGACTAGGACGCAATGGATCAGTGGCTTCAAACTACAAGAGAGGAGATTCCATCTGAACATGAGGAAGAACTTCCTGACTGTGAGAGCCATTCAGCAGTGGAACTCTCTGCCCCGGAGTGTGGTGGAGGCTCCTTCTTTGGTCTAGAGCAGTGTTTCTCAACCTGGGGGTCGGGACCCCTGGGTGGGTCACGAGGGGGTGTCAGAGGGGTCATCAAAGACCATCACAAAATACAGTATTTTCTGATGGTTATGAGGATTCCATATGGGAAGTTTGAGCCAATTCTATCATTGGTGGAGTTCAGAATGAACTATAAACGACAACTCCCAAATACCAAGGTCTATTTTCCCCAAACTCCACCAGTGTTCACATTTGGGCATATTGAGTATTCGTGCCAAATTTGGTCCAGATCCACCATTGCATGAGTCCACAGTACTCTCTGGATATAGGTGAACCA